GAAAGACGATCATGTCGACGAGGTCGCCACGGGAACAACAAAAGTGCCGTTCCGGGCCCAGCTGCCCCCGACTATAGCCCTCTGGGGGCGCCCGCTAACAGGGCCCAAGACGGCCGAGCGAGAGAGGGCGCCGCGCGCAAGTTCGCAACCGGAGGGGGAATGGCCCGGAGAAAGATCAGGGGTGCCTTTATGATCGTAAGAAGCCGAAGGCCGCCCCTGCTCCGCGGCCGGCTCGGCCGGCTGCCATGCCGAACGCTGCGCCGGCGACGGGCGCTCGGCCGGCGCGCGGGGGGGGGGATGGGGCAATGCTGAGAATGGACAGGGCAAGGGCAAGAGCAATCTCCGAGAACGATCGGCCACGCCTGGCCCAACGGGCGCCAGGAATTCGTCGACGAGCCCCTCGAAGGAACAGTAGTCCACGGTTGCTTGCTTTGCTCTCCACCGAGGCGCGCGCAAAGGCCATCGGCGCGATCCGACGCGCCGCGCTGCAGACTGCGCGGGAAACCAGCGCCTGAAGAAACCCAGAAGGGAGACAAATGAGAGGGGGCCCGCTGCAAGCGGGGGGGGGAATCGGCAGCGATCGCGCCCCGAAACAGGCGCGGCTGACTCTGCGGCGGCCAACGTCGCCAAGGCCCGCGCCGCGGACTGACGCGACGCCGGCGGCGAGAGAGGGGGCCAGACAAGAACTAGCAGCAAAGGGGGCGGCAAGGATTAGTGCGACGCCCCCTTGTTGGCATTAAACGGAGCGCAACGAATGTCCCACCGGAGACCGCTGTCAATGCCGCGCCAATACTCCTGGCCACCGGGAGTCGATGGCGTGGCCATTGATCTCCTGGGGGCATTGATCACCATTTTATCGCGTTGACCACGGCTACCATATTTATCGCGTTGACTACGGCTGCTATTTTTATCCGATGTATTTGTTGCGTCCTCTCGATTGGTCATCGGTGCGTGCGAAATGCTCCATCGAGAGGGCATCCCAAGGTCGAGAATATCAACAGTGATGATGCTTGTCCAGCCCCATTGCCACTCGGTGCGCATCTTGAGATGCCAGCTAGTGTTGGGAAGCGTGTTTTTTGAGATTGCGAGGACGGCTTCGGACCCATTCCACATGTGGGACACGTGCAGGACGCAGTTGATTCAGCGCCAGCACAACGTCAATAATGGCAAAAAAGAAGGCCCTGTCATGCCCATGCTTAGTATTTTTCTGCCGAGAGCTGCCATCCAAACTGAATTTGACATCATGCCGAAGTCCAGCTGCGCGAAGATGGAACGTTCCGCCCCGCGTGGTCTTTCTGTTTGTTTCCACAAATGTACAAACACAAAAACGCCGCCACTAAAAGTGAGCTCGCTTTTGAATGGAGCCCCCTTCATTTAGAAGAGATAGATGGGCATGTCCCAGGGAAGTGCAATCTCGAATGATTTTCAAAACCGAGATCGCCATCTCTTAGCCGCAGTGAGGGCCGCGGAACTGAAGCAAGAGGTTTGGAATTTGCGGCATGCTGGTGGAGATTGATTTGAAACCAGCGCCGCCGCAGGCGATCGAGGGAATGACCGCGTCGGCCTCGGCCCGATGCGCTTCATTGTTGACGCGGGCTGTGGATTCAATTTTATTGCGGAAAGATCCGCGAAGAGTGCCGACGCCGACGCTATGGCTAATGTTCGGGAGCTGTCTCCGGGCATCACCTCGAAAGTTGCCGGAGGCCCCGGCGGGGCCCCAGGCGCAGTCGGCGCGGCGCACAGATAATTTCAGGAATAACGCTTTGACGTTTGAGTTGCGCCAGAACCCCCGAGTGCGCTCTCAGCGCGAGGGGGGGGGGTGTAATGACCGCAGTTTTAGTTTTTGCTGGCGCGCGGGTCGAACCCCTTGCCTACTCCTGCCTCGTGGACATAGAGTTAACCTGGCCGTCGACATTATAATGCCGTATCTGACGTTGTCTGGAAGAGATGCAGTCGGAGTTGGAGGCGCTGGAGAGCGACGACAGCCAGCAGATGATCTAGGCTGCCGTCGAGCACGCCGCGGCCGGCCTCGGCCGTCGGCCACGCGAGTGGCCCTGGCGCCAGAAGACGCAGCGCCGGCGCCGGGGCATCTGCGCGCAGCGCCATTTCTACCCGCGCGGCGTCGCCCCGGACGACTGCGCCGCGCTGGGAGAGGGGGGTCGACGAGGAAGGCGCGCGGAGTTGCGCCTCGACCCAGGGGCGCGCGAAGCATGCCTGAGCTTTGGGGAGGATGTGCCCAGCAACTGCGCTGCCGGCGCCTCCTACGCAGCCGCGTTTCACGCGCGCGCCGCCGCGGAGGCCGCGGCCGTCGAGCGCGGCGCCGATCTCCCGACGAAGGAAGAGCCGAGGAGGCGTCCGCAGCCGTCCTCGAGGAGCTCACCATCAGGGCCAGGTGCAAACGCTCTGCGCGGCGACCGCTCGAGGGCGCCTGGAGCGCCGTGGACTTCAGGCGCTTCTTCAAGTGGGGGCACTGGCAGGGCGCCGACGGCAAGACCGCGCGGATCATCTGGTGCCGCATGGCGCCCAGAGGCTTCCGCGACGCGGTCGGCGGCGCCCGTGAGACGTTCGAGGAGGCAGCCGATCGAGCCTTGCAGCCCATGCTGTCCGCGGAGGCGGCGGGTCGCCCGGGCCGGGCCCGCGTCGCCGCGGGCGTCGAGAAGGCGTTCTTGCAGGGCATGACGCGTGCCCTGATGCAGGAACGAGGTGAGGCGCCGCGCGGTGTGGGCTTCATTCACTACGCGAGGCGCCGCGCGCGCCAGTCGCGGGTTTCAGGGGCGCGCCCCGAGCCTTCTGACAGAAACTCGCCCGGGTCGCATAGAGTGCGGCGCCAAACCCGCCAGGCGGGGCCCGGGGCTCGAGGTCAAGCATGCGGCGTCGGCGTCAGGTAATTGTTGCCGGCGACTCAAAGCTCGCGCGAACGTGGCCCACGCGCGCCAGGAATATGAAGATCGCCGGACAGAAGGAGCGCGCCGACAAGCTCATCGGCCACGCCGAAGGCGCAGTCTGCAACATGGCGAGGGACTGCGACAACTTCACCATTTGCGGTGTCCACCAACATCGCGGCCCCGACAGCGCCGTGACGCGCGCCCCAATGCCCATCAAGCGCGTCGACCTGGTCAAAGCGAGGGCCGACGACCGACGAGCCCGCAAGAGATCAACTGCCCGACCTCTTCGTCTCCTTGCTGGGAGCAGCCGCGTGCGCCCTGCCCCCCCAGCGCCGCGTCGCAGCGTGCATCGCGGCCCTGCAACGGGCCGAGAGCAAGCTGCTTTTGCGACGCGCTATGCGGATAAATTCTGCGGTCCTCGCCGCGCAGAGGACCAAGGCGCGCGCCGCATGCCCGGCCGTGAAACGCGCTGGCGAGGTCTGCGCGCTCAGCGGCGGGTCCTGCAAGAGGGGGGGGGAGACGGGGTGCGACACGAGGGGCGCCGTCGACGCGCGCCTCGGCAAGTGTCACAGCGCCAGCCAGTTGCTTGATGCGGTGAGCCGATCACACGGCTCTGAACTGCTCGCAGCACGCGGCGCAGCTGATGGGTTGCAGGCCTACCTCTTCGCGCTCTACGAGATGATCCGTGGCCCAGTCTCAGCCGAGGAGATCCGTGGGCTGAGGGGGGAGGGAGGCTACGCCATACTGACAACCGTGGCCGTGGACGGTATGTCCGTCTTCGCGGCCCTTGCCATGGGTCCTGTGCGTCCACCGTCGGAGCACAGCATGGCAGGCCACCTGTGGTGGCTTTCCGACCAGCTCCGTACTAATCAGATCACCGACGTGCTATGGTGCGGCACCCGCGACACGAGGGCTGACCCCATTGCGAACTGGAGTGTCGGCCGGGAGCTGACACTGGACGCATTGGGCGGGGAGCTCATGCACGACCGCGCCGCGACCAGACTCGGCGACGAAAGGCGCGTGACGACCGTGTCTAGTTCCCGCCACAGCGACCTCAGGACGGAGGAGGATAACGTTTCACTGACGGAACAATCAGCCAGAAGCTACAGTACATGCGTTCTGGCTGCGTAGAAATAACATCGGCGGTCGCATGTCGCGAACTGCATTCACGAATGCGGCAGAGACGCGGACAGCCGCATTGCTCGAATTGTGTTCGCGAGTGCGATGTAGCAGGATATATGAGAGACAGCCGCATACGCGAACTATGTTCGCCAATGCGACTTAGTGAATCATGCAGCGAGGGGCTGCTTCTGCAAACTGTGTGCGTGGGGCAGCAGCTGTTGGCGTGTAGCACGATCGTGATGTTTTGTGCTCTTCCGAGTGTCTGCTTGCTCCGTTCCTCCTGTTCACCTGCGGGGGGGGAGTATTAGCCGTCTCCGGCTTGTTCGACGGACAATGTCGGGAGTACCTCCATTCTTCCCGCAGGCGCCGTGCAAGTTTTTGGCGGTTGGCGCCGCGAGGGGGCCAACGTGCGTTTGGGGGCGGAGTGAAGGCCGACATCCACGGGACCCGCCGAAACAGGCGAAATTTCCCTCTCACCACAGCTGTTTGTGAGGCTTCGTTTGCTGTCGCACGGCTTGCGTGCTGTAGCTGACAGGGCGCAGACAAAGTCGTTTGAACACCAGGCTCGAATGGTGTCCTTGTATATGTTGTATGCCTTTCCTGAGTTTTTTCCGCGGCCTCTTGGGGCTCACTGGAGCTTCTCTCCGCGCCCGCATTACGCATTCACGCCGCATTTTTGGTACGTTTTACAGGAAATGTTTTACCACCCCATTCGCATTCATATTTCTCCTCCCCCTCCTCAGCCTCCCCCTCCTCATCTTTATCATCATCACCACGACCACCGCCATCACCACCACCACCAGCATTACCACCACCATCATCATCATCATCATCTTCATCATCAGCGTCATCATCATCATCATCATCATCATCATCATCAACATCATCATCATCATCATCATCATCATCATCATCATAACCATCATCAGCATCAACACTATCATCAGCAACATCATCCCTAGGCCTTCCCCCCCGATTCGGCCTCCTCCACAGGACCCCCCGAGGGGCGGCGGCGCGTCCTCATCAGCGGGCGCCGCGCCCGCGGGCGCGTCCTCGGCGGGCGCCGACGCGAACGCCGACGGCGCGGACGGTGGCTCGGGCCCAAGCCATGCGTGCGCCGAAGCGCCTCCGCCCTCCCCTCTCCTCCTCGTCCCTCCCACCCTCCGTCCCTCCGTCCCTCCCTCTCCCCTTCTACACGATTCTTCCGCCTCCTCCGCCTCCTCCTGCTCCTCCTCCGCCTTTTCCTCCTCATCCACGCGTCGCCCATCCTCCCCTTCCACCGCCTCTCCTGCTCCTGCTTCTCCCTCATCGACGTTTTGCTCCCCCACTCCTCCCCTCCTTCCTCTCTTCATTTCTCCCTTCCTCCCCTTCCACCGCCTCTCCTGCTCCTGCTTCTCCCTCATTCGCGCTTCGCTCCCCCACTTTTCCCTTCCTTCCTCTCCTCATATACCCCTCCCTCCCTTCAACCCCTCCTCGTTTTGTTTCTCCTCCTCCTCCCTTTCGTTCTCCTCCTCCTCCTTTTCCTCCTCCTCCTCCTTCTCCTTCTCCTCCTCCTCCTCCTCCTCCTCCTCCTCCTCCTCCTCCTCCTCCTCCTCTCCTCCTTCTCCTCCTCCTCTTCCTCCTCCTCCCTGCTTCTCCTCCTCCTGTTTCTCGTCGTCCTCTAGTTCATCCCTCCCCTTGCTCTTCCCGCCACATACCCCTCCTCTTCCTCATCATCCTACTCCTACCCCTGCCCCTCCTTCTTCCCCTTCCTCCCGACCTCGCCACCTTCATCCCTTTTGCTCCCTCCACGATTCCTCCCCCTCCCCCTCTCCACGAGTTTTCCCTCCTCCTTCCCCCTCCTTCGCCCCCAGGAAGGTACGTCGGCGCTTGGGCGGGGCGTCGGGTCTCACAGGTAGCTGAATTCCGCCAGGCCGTGGCATTCGTGGGGGCTGCGCTGCGGTAGGAATTGCTATTGCCCCGTGGTCTTTTGTCGGCACTCCCTCGGTGTGTCCCTGGCAGCTTGGTCCTAGGATCCTTCTCTGTCGTACGGTCCCACTGTGGGCGCACCCCAGTTGTGCCCGAATGGGTTTCAACGCTGTGGGGCCCGGGTCGCTCCAACCTACGGAGCAGGCGGCTAGGATGCGGGCCACTTGCCTACGGGTTGCGGGGTTTGGTGCTGGGCCCCGCAAAGTCTCGCACCGCTCTCCCCTCGCGGTGGTCGAGGGGGGGCCAGGGTCCCCGACCTCAGAGAGGCGGGAGGCTTGAGGCGGCGCACTCGGCGTCGTTATCTGAGTGGTGGGAGGGCTGCGTGCCGCTGCTTGTGCCTGCTGCCGCTTACCTTGGCATCGCTCGGACGTGTGTGTGTGTGTGTATGTGTGTGTGTGTGTGTGGGTGTGTGTGTGTGTGTGCGTGCTTTCTCCCCCGGCGAGGACCATGAAGGAGGATCCTGGAACATCTTGCGGACAAATAAGCACACGAAACCGACAAATGACATACGCACAGGGAATGGACGTCCGAGCGATGGCGAGTTACTGCCCCCCCTCCGGCCGTTTGTCGCACCAGGCCTCCGCCGCTCTCGGCGGCCGCGTGCGCTCGCTCTCAGCGCCGCGGGGCACTTTCAAAACGGCTGTTGATTGTCTGTGCTCAGCGGCTGAGGCATTGTCGTCTGCCCCAGGCGAGGTGCATCGCGTTTGTCAATGGTCGGTCAGGCCTCTGAGTTGGAGCTGTCTCTTTGGTAGCTCCTTTCCTGGTGCTGTTGTCGGTGTGCTCGACTCTGGCTTTCCCGCGTTCGCTTCTGCTTTCCCTCTTTCCCGAAGTTTGGGCTGGCGCAGCTCAGTCGGGTCTTCGAGCCTTCCTCGCTTTTCAACGGTCGATAGCGATTCTCAGGTCCCACATGCGCTTTTTTGCGCTTTTCAGGCTCTGTGCAGGTGGGAATGGCGAGATACAGCTGCTGCATTATCTGGCCTGTGTTTAAGCAGTCTGCTGCTATCTTGAGCACGGCACCTGCGCCTGCCATTGTTGCGCGCGCGCCTCCTCCTCCTGTTCCTCCCCGTTCCCTCCTCCTCCTCCTACTACTACTTCTCCTCCTCCTCCTCCTCCTCCTACTTCTCCTCCTCCTCCTCCTCCCTCCTCCCCATCCTCATCCTTGCCCTCCCCCCCTCCCTCCTCTCCCCTCCTTTCTCTGTCTCCTCCTTTTCCTCCCACTGTTCCTCCTCCTCCGTCTCCATTCTTGTTCCTTATACATAATTGTTTGCCTTATCGCACCCCGAGGCCAGTTTTTAGGGCAGGCCGGGCGTTTCGCCTGAGACTACCCCACCATTTAGGATTCTGAAGCCTAATAGTTGACAACAGTTTCGGAGATGAAGGGCTGGTCGTTTTCAAAATGTGGCTCTCGCCTTAGCGCGGCGCACAACCGTTTTCAAATTTGCAAGAGCTTCGCGGATTGAGGGCGCATCGTTTTCAAAATGTGGCTCTCGCTTTAGCGCGGCGCACGTGCGTCCAAAAAGTTGCAAGCGTTTCACAGATAGAGGGCGGTTCCTTTTCAAAATGTAGCTCTCGCCTTGGCGCGGCGCACATTCGTTGTAAAACTTTGCAAGCGTTTCACGGATTGATGGCGGTTCCTTCTCAACATGTGGTTCTCGCTGCAGCGCCGCGCGCATTCGTTTACACAATTTTCAAGAGTTTCACGGACTCCCATCATCAACGTACCAGAAAAGGTGTTTTGGAAGTATTATGCGGGTGCAAGAGTTACGCCGATTCTCTGTGTTGAAGTCCTATGAATGGCGTTCTGGCACGATTCAGGATAAGACGCAACAGTCAGGTCGATCCGCGGCGTTGGAATCCCGAGAACCATGACTTGGCATGCTTCAGGGTTTTCAATCGGGTGTTTTCCAACGGGTCAGTTCCATCAATGGAAATGAACCGGCCTAGGGGCCTATGAAGAGGGAGCTTGGAGGGAGGGTTTCTTCCACCATCGTTGATGAATTTTGGGTTTGCACTGGTCCTCCACCTCGTCCTCCTCCTCCTCCCTTTCCTCCTCCTCGTCCTCCTCCTGCTCCTCCTCTTCCTCCTCCTCCTCGTCCTCCTCCTCCTCCTCAAGTGGCAGGATTCGCATGGCCCCGCCCCGCCCATGTAGACACACCGCTCACACGCTTCGTGGCCCCATAGGGAGCTCAACCGAAGGCCCCAGTGTCAGGGTTCGCATGGCGCCGCCCTGCCCTGCCCATCAAGGCACACCACTTGCACGTTTCATGGCCCCATGGGGAGCTCAACCGAAGGCCCCAGCGGCAGGGTTCGCATGGCGCCGCCCTGCCCACCTCGGCACACCCTCACACGTTTCGTGGCCCCACAGGGTCAACCGAAGGCCCCAGTGGCAGGGTTCGCTTGGCGCCCGCCTTGCCAAGCTGGCTCCCCTCCCTCTCTCACGATTGTGGACCCATAGGGAGTTCCAACGACGACACCAATGTCCCCATAGGGAGCTCCACCACAGACGGTATTCACAACTGCGGTATTCAATTCTGCACATGGTTGGGTGTTTTTCGCCAGAGTAATATGGAAGGTTCTTGTGTTGGTGATCAGGGCGTAGCAACTCCTTCTCGGAGTGGCATATCATATGTGCCGCGGCCTGTCTTCGAATACGCACGGTGCAAGTAAATCCAGATCGCCATCCGCAGTGCGCCACTGCGTAAATGGTTCATGGTAAGCATTGAGCAGCATGTATGGCGTAGTTTTGTGGTTTGTTGTGACAGTTTGCAACAGGAGGGTCATGTTGTGTATTTCAGCTTGGATGCGACCTCTCAGGCAGAAGTACACGTTTTGCATAAATTATTGGCATTGCGTGTATTTACCAGCTCGTCCAGGAACGATCACAGGTCGAGGTGTCCTGATCAGGGAAGCGTGGGAGCATCCATAGGAGCAAAGAGGGGATAATCCATCACGCGAACGTTTCGGATCAGCCAGCGCAGACCCAGAAATGAGCCATATATGTGCACATATGTATACTATATGCCTTCGCAGCTGTGTCGAATCTGCCGAGGCAGGCATGGAGAGGGAGGACGGCGAGCAGAAGGAATTGCAGCATTGAAGCACTATCGATGCCCTCTCAGGGCCCTCTTGTGGCCATGGTGGTCCCAGTCGGATTCATCTTGGGAGCCATGGGGCCCATGGGAACGTCATCAAAGACGGGGGGTCATATATTACTGTTGTTCCTCTTGGGTCCGAGCACTCGCCTCTTGGGGCTCTCGGTTGGCGCTCTTGGGCGTTTTGGGGGCCGCCTTGGAGCCCTCCTGGCCACCTCTTGGAGTTCTTTTCGTCAATGTCGCGGCCATCTTGAGAGGGTCGGCAAGGTGAATGGTGTGGGCACCCGCAATTACGTAGTATTGTCTTTTGAGAGGGGTGGTTGGCCCGGCGCCCCCAATAATGTGCGCCCCCGACCTCTCCCAGTACGTAGTCTTTCCACACTCACAATGCAAAATGGTCGCGCCCCCCCGCGCATTGCCCAACACTTTGCCGTAACGAGCAGTTTGCATTATTTCTGGCTGGGATGGTGGGTCTGCGCGCACCATGCGATATGCTGCCCCCCGCCGCCCCTGTCAAAAGACAATGTCAAGCCATTGCAGGGCCCCAGCGCATGGTCAAAGAATTAGCCGCAACGTGCAGGTTGTGTTGCCTTTTGATTCGGATGAGGGGGGATGGTTGGCATGTTTCCTGGTCGACCGCCCCTGTCGAGTGGGAGAGGGGTGTTCATTAACAGAGAACAGTGATAAGCCCCTCCCCGTCTGGGAAGAAGGGAGTTGGATGAGCGAAGTCATTAAATCATGTCTGCCCAGAGGACGGATTGGATTTCATATATTACGTCCTAACACGTGTCAGTTGGGGAATGCTCACCTCGCATTGTATGTTTTATGTTGTCAACTTGGCCGCACATGTTGTTTCGCAGCCGCTTGCCGTAAAGCGTAGTCCTTTGAAGCTCCGTGTGCAGTATATGTGTGTGGGTTGTGGCGGCTTACGCCTGGCTCAGGTCTGCGCCATGCTGCGTACTTCGTGGAGCTAAGACCCCATACCGTAGGCAACGACTCCAAAGCATGTGCGCCGTTGGAGCAGTACAGTCGGGGCCCTGACGAAGGAACCCTTTTCATTGGAGGGGGCTCCGTGTTCCTTAAGTGTTTCGCAGTTGGCTTTTGGTTTTCCTTAGGTTTTCGATACGAAATCGAAGTTCAACTTATAGAGAAAAGGGGCCTCGTTCCTTATTTAGGGTTCCTTAGGTCAACTCTCCGACTGTATGCAGCCAGATGCGCGTCGTGTATGCTAGAGACTGTTTTGTTGTAAGCGTCCAGCAAGAACCGTGGTTAATCGGGCCCACCCGCCCCCCCTCCCCCCCGGGATGCCCGGACCTTTTCGGTTGCGCAGGTCCAACGGGAGTACAGTCGGGGCCCTGAAGAAGGAACCCTTTTGGTTGGGGAGGGGCTCCGCGTTCCTTGAGTGTTTCGCAGCTTGCCTCAGGCTTCCCTTAGGTTTTCGATGGGAAATCGAAGGTTAACTTGTGGAAAAAAGGGGCCTCGTTCCTTGTTTAGGGTTCCTTAGGTCAACGCCCCGACTGTCCTGGTGCACGCGGCTGTCGGTTGCGCTGGTCCGACGGGGGTGCGCAGATGTGGCGCGCGCGGGCACACAAGCGAAAAGGTTGGCCTATCGGCCCGCACCTCCTCCGCATAATCCGGGTCGGCGCCGAAAGCGAAAACACGATCTCCGACCGTCCTCACCTTTGATCCTCTCCCCCGCCCCTGGGCCTCGAAGCCAGGCAAGTGGACGCTCCTGTGGGTCTCCGAGCTCGCCTTCAAGCCCTCCGCGGTGGCGCTGAAGGCCCGGCTCGAGGCACTCGGCTGCCAGGCCTCGCCGGGTGCTGCAAACGTGCGTTGCCGCTGGTACTATGCTTTCGTGTTTGTGGTCGCACGACGCTTGAGGACCAGTGTTAACCCAGACTCATCAAAGATATTGCAACAAACCCTTCCTCCAAGGTCCATCTTCAGAGGCCCCTACAAGGATTGATTTCCACTGAAGGAAATGATACCCCGGTCGGACACAACCGTTCGGAGACCCTGGACTGCGCCACAAGACCATTCTGTGTCATCAATGCCGCGAATTACTGTTACTGCTGCGGCGTGACTCTCCTGAATCGCGCCAGAACGCCATTCTTGGGACTTCAACACCGCGAGTCGACGTAACTGTTGCTGGTGCCTTGAGATTGGTACAGTGTGGTGGCCTAAGGCTGATGCCTTATAGTTGGCGCCCTATGGCTGAGGATTAGCTGTGCCCCATGGCTGGCGCCATAAGATGGGTGCTCCGTAGTCGGTGGCCTAAGGCTGTTTCCCCAGGGCTTGCTCAGCGTTGCTTGTGCGTCGGGAGTGCAAGAACCACTTAATTTCCAGGGCCCATTTCGATCCGATCGATCCGATCCGATGTTGATTTCGGCCGGCCCGATCCGATCCGATCCCGTATTCAACGATCCGATGCGGCCCAGTGTTTGCATGGCGTTGTTGTACATTTGCGCACGGCTGGTTCGATTTCGGTTCCGTGCCGATGCAGCCCGATCCGATGCACATGTCGAGTTGATCAGATTTCCCGATTCGATGCCGACTGGCCGTGCCTCTTGTTTTGGGGTCCAGCTGCTGGCGTCCGTATTTGCTCACACGGTGGTCTGCGTATTGTTATTCCGCCGTCATGTTGCTCAACGATTCGGTTGGCGGAACTGCACGCGACGGCCCCATCGTGTGAAATTGCTTCCTGCCTGAGCAGCGCGTTGTTTGCCACGCAGGCGAGCGGACGCTGGTACGCATTGTGGTAGAATTTGCCTCTCTGTGCTCCACTCGGAGCTCCAGGATTAACTCCACTTCCCGCGCTCCGCCGGCTGAAAACTGATGAGCGGATCGGTAATCTGAATGAGGTGCCCTTTCCTGCCGCATCCCCCTCCCCCTTGCTCCAAGTCAACGCTGGAGAGAAACAAGGCATCACGCATATACGACATACTTTTCTGTAAGGCGTCGTCTTGGAGCGATCAAACCGGCGACTGGGCCATCGCGGGCAAGCGTCTGTACGTGAACCCACCGCCAGCCCCTGAGGCTCATCGCTCCTCCCTTGTGACGGCGGCCGTGGACGGCTCTGGCACCGCAGGCCGCTACAGCGCCAGCTCGCGAGGAGGACCACCTCTGTCTGCACGGCGCGAGCTCCTGCTACTCGTCAAGAACACCTGGACCGCGCTGCCAGACACCCGCGTCCAAGGGGACTCGTTCGCCTCGCCCTCGGACTATAGGAAGCAGTGCAAGGGGCGGGCGCGTCCTGAGGATGTCCCAACGCAAGTTCTGCTCGATTTCCTCAGTTCGAAGGGGGCCCTCGTGGTCTGGGCCAGGAGGATGCAGCAGATAGGTGGTGAACCTGGGGCGGCCTGGCAAAGGTTCTGCGCTCTGCGTGGCGGTGGCACCCGCGACCCCAGCTGGCACGACGCCCCCTTCCTCCGCTGTTTCTGACAGCGGTGAACTTGGTTCTCGCGGTCTGCGGCCTACCTCGCTTCGTTCCACAAGCAGCGCAGCAAATTTTACGTGGACTGGGATTGGGCCTGGCAGCGCCAGCGCCATTAGGGACCCCATGTCCCAAGGGTTCGCCAGCGGCAGCCAAGGCAAGGGGAACGGCTGCGGCTGGCTGGGGGAAGGAAGCTCAGTGCCGCCACGCGCTGTCCTCCCCGGTCGGTGCGTGGCCCGTTTCCACAAGAAGTTGCACGGACTAGGTGCCCCCAGTCCCTATAGGTCGGCCACGCGCTGCCCTCCCCAGGCGGTGCATGGCCTGGTTAAATCACGCAGGTAACTGCGCCGAGAAGGTACGCCTCGACCGGCCATGCGCTGCCCTCCCCAGACGGCGCGTGGCATCCACCAGCTTTTGGCCACAGTTTTGTTCCGAGCCGGTTTAAGTGCCTGTGGACCTTACGCTACGTCGTAGCCCCTGCCCTACACCCAGCAGGCACAGCGTTTTGCTATTAGCGGTCTCAAACCTAGATTGCACATTTTGTTGCTTGCAGTGTCTAGTCATCCAATTATACCTGATGTTCCGCGCAATGGCATCGGCAGCGCCCGTGGATGCACCGACGCCGCGGTTCAGCCGCTGCCACGATCCCAGGTGCCGCTGCTGACCGCGCCAGTGCGCTCGGGGTGGAACTCTTCTACATATAAGTGCCCTCCGCCCCTCCCCTCCTCTGTGGCCGCCCTGTTTGTCTTGTTCCCTCCTCCTGCATGCTGGCCAATTCGCTCTTCGATTGCTCCGAGTCGCTTCCCGCTGGTGTAGTATACCTCTGCCTCGCTGCCGACGTAAAAAGTATGGATCAGGCTCGCTTTCCGAGCCTGTGTTCATTTTCGGCGGCGACGCCACCTGGGCCCCGACAGTCGCAGCCCCAAGCTTTGTCGCGTTGGCCGGGCAATTACTTGTTGCCCACCCGACAGGTTGGAGCTGTTAGATTTCAAAAAACAGGCACCCCAGCCAACCGCGCCCTGCACACCGCGGCCGCCAGACCCCAAGTTGCCCCGATGATTTTGCATAGTCTGTCCGCTGAGACTGCAGGTTTTGCGCAGCGGGAGTGGGGACCTTCAGGGGTCCCCACATTGGTCTCTGCAGCCTCCAGCTCGAGAACTAGGGGTTGTGCTGGCGGGCCGTGTCCGTCCGAAACCACGCTCGCGCGACGCGGGGGGGGCCCGCGCGGCGACGAGGCCCTGGGGGCTCGTGGTGCACGCGGCGGTGATGCTCATCGGCGGCGCGCAGACGAGCCGGGCCAAAGGGCGGCGGCCGTTCGGTCTCGGGCTGACGGGCGTGGATCCCGCGCCGTCGGCGACCGATCCCGCGAGGCGGGCGCCGGAGTCTCCGATTCCATTGGCGCAGCTCCCTGCCCCAAGGGCGAGGGGTGCCGGGGGCCTGGAACGAAGCCGCCAGCCGCGAAGGCGAGCGCAGGGCTTGGGGAGGGGCGCTCGCCCATCCCACCGGTGGCCGCCGGAAAAGGGCGCCATCCCAGCATTGCGACGGATGCCATCGCCACGACTACGACCGCAAGTTCTATTACGGGACGCGCTGTGGAGGGGGAGGGGGGCTCCGCGGAAGTGATCCCCAAGCCTACTGCAGCAGTGGAGCTACCCAGCTCAGGCAGCGATGCTTGGCGCGCCTGGTTGCCGACCATGCCGAGTTGGTGGTGTTCCGAGGACGCGGGCGCGCCTGCGCACGGTGAGCCGCCTTCGGACGGGCCTGGTGAGCCCGCGCCCGCGCGGCCTTGGGGGTTCACGGCTTGGGCCTTCGAGATCTGCGGTTTGTGGATTTGGCTAAGTGCGCCCCCCCCAAGTCTAAGCTGGGCCGAGCCCCCGAGGCCTGGGCCGCGCGGGGCGCGGCGTCGCTCGTTCGACGGGAGAGGCGAAGCGACGGCCCACTCCCTGGGCTTCGCGCTCTTTGCGCCTTCGGCGCTCCCTCTGCGTGGGCCACGCTGCGAGCCTGTCCCCCCTCTTCTCCCTCGCCCCGTCTCGAGCGCAATGACCGCCGCCGCGGGCGCGGTGGTCCAGGGGCGGGGCGCGCGGGGTCCGCGCCGCCGGAACCGCCTCTGTCGGGCGCCGGGCGCGGGCCCAGTTCGGGGCCGCGAGCCGAGAGATGGCTGGCACTGGACACTGGGCTTGTTGCCCGTCGGCGCCCTTGCGCCCGCGTCTCAGGCGGCTTTGAATTCGCTTTGCCTGGGCCGCCCGCTTTGTCTTCCTCTTCTTCCCCTCTCGGGTGCCCCGCGCCCCTTCGCGATCAGCAGTCTGCCTGCTGCGTCGCGCGCGCGTCGGCGAGTTCGCCGAAACGGCCCCGCGCTCGCCCGGGGAGGCCTCCAGGTCGCAGGCGAGTGGCATTCGGTGCTGCGGTTTTGGTTTCGTTTGGGATGATGGCCGATGGGCCGGCGAGCGCGCCTAAAGGCGCGCAGCAGTGACCGCTGCGCGCCGCGTTGCGCGGGCCCTAGCGGGCTTGCGCCGGGAGGGCGCGCGCGTGGCCGCTATGCCAACAGGATCATCCTTATCCTTCCTCCGTCCTGGTCCTCCTCCTGCTGCTCCTCCTCCTCCTGTCTCTCCTCTCTCCTCTTGCGTTTCGTGCGCGCGCGTTTGCGCGTAACCCCGAGAGTCCCGGGTGTCCCGCCACGTGCCCACCCAACCCCGCCCTGCATACCGTGGCCGCCAGACCCCAAGTTGCCCCCATGATCCCCGAGGGTCCCGGGTGTCCCGCTTCGCGCCTTCGACGAACGCGGCAGAACACAACATGATTGAATAGAACAGAGCATGACAGAACATGGACAATATAGAACATGCCAATGTCATGACAGAGTCTATGATATTGATATCAGCAGATCACAACACATACTGGAGCAGGACATTACGTAACGTAAGGTGGCAAACCACACTATAGCATAACATAACCGATCATCCCATAACACACATTGACAAATCATGACATAAACTGGCAATGCATCATCGAACACATCACAAGACGACAGCAGAGCATAGCGACGACGAGAGCGACAGAACACAACATAACATGACACGACATAAGACGACAGAACAGAGCACGAGCATGACAGGCCATGGCATAACATAACATAACAATGCCATGGCAAAGTCGAGCATACCATAACCTTACATAACTCACAAAATAATAGGATGACATAACAATGGGCGGCATAACGCAACACACCATACCACAACCAATCATATCATATCACGACTTGGCAAACATATCATACCATGACACAGTATCACATAACATAACACATCATGGCAGAAGTACAGATCGACGGCGAAAAGGCATAACACACCATGCCACAATATAACCAGCCAGAACATAACACGAGCATGACAAAACACGGCATACCATACCATAGCAATGTCATGACACAATATACCACCATTGATTTTCGCACAACCTACTTGAGCAGAGCATGACAGAACATCAGACGACAAACCACACCATGAGACAATATAACTGGGCCTAACATAACACTCATTGGCAGAACATATCACATCATGTGGCATCATCACATAACATATCACAACCGACAGCAACGCATATCGCTATAGACTAGCAGTGCGTAGCATTGTATACTATACAGAGCCGAGCCGCCAACTGACGGAACACCAGAGACCATACCAGAGCAGAGCATGACAGAGCAGACGAATGCAGAACACAATATAGTATATTATAACCGAACATATCACAACACAAGTTCACATAACATGTCATATCGTGACACTGCACCACAGAACATAGCATAACACGCCAGCAGAGCATAGCGACGACGAGTGCGACATAACACAACATGACATAACGGAACATGACATAACATAACACGAGGATGACAGAACATGACAGCACAGAACGTAGCAATGCCATGATCATACCAAACATAACATAACATCACAGGACATTCCAGAGCAGAACATGACACAACGTATGGCGACATAACACAGGATAACGTAACATAGCCGAACATGGCATGGCATGACATATAAGAACATAACCTTGCATCCAGACGACATACCACAACATATCATAACATCACATACCCGGGTTCTGTCCTTTTTCTTTCGTTCGGAGTTATGTGGTTGTTGGATTTGGAGACAACGGAATTCGCCACCCGGCCCGACCGCCGCATGGGCCGAGACCATTGGGCCCCGCGTGCAGCGTTCCACCAATCAGGCGGCCGCACGCCATCGGGAACAAACGGTCAATGTTTCCGAGGGGGCCGCTCGAAGCAAAATAATTGTCAAAGCCTGCCCCCCTCCACCGCGCCTCGAGGATCGATCTGTGGATCCCTCAGCGGCAGGAGACAGGTCGTAGCTAGGGGGGAGCTGACACATCTTTACCTCGCCCTGTGGGCGAGCAGCGACGTCCTCATTGTTCTGTTTATGATGATGTCGTCACGGGGTGGTATGAACCGAGATGTTTGTTTGCAGCCTCGAGGTGCAGATGTTGACCTCTGGGCTGCCATTGGCGAACTCACCACCTCCCGACCTTTCGAGCACGCAGTGGTTCGTTCACCCATTCCCACCCCTCGGCCGCGCAGATGGCCAGAGGCGAAGGCATCAGGCCGTTGATCATCGGAAGCGCAGCTGTGGGCGAAACTGCTGGCTTGGCCGCCGCACACAGCGAGAGTGCCCGAGGCCGAGCGTCCTCGCCTGTTGCTGCACGAGCGCCGCGCACGGCTGGTGCGGGTGAGGCCCCTCAGGGCGCCTTGCTGATTGCCTGGCTAAGGAAGAGGAGCTGGCGCGCGGAGGAAAAATGAGCGGGGGCCCTCCGCCCACTCCTCCCTCCCCCCGCTGCCTCCTGCTGCCGCTGTCCCCGCGCTCCTCTCCAGGCACCGCCTGACTGAGTACAAAAGGGGGTGCACCAGGTGTATTGGCTCGGCCTCCTAATATAGTATGATGGAATGGAAGGAATGGCACGCCTCAGAGTGCCCGCCTCTAGTCAATGTCAACGGCATGATTTACTCCCTACCCAAAGCGGAGGGTGGATCCACAGCGGGGAGGGTTGGCTGCGTCCATCTCACCTCCTCAACGTTCATGCTTCTCTGAAGTGTTGGTTCTGTGTGCGCAACGCCGCGTTCGAGTGTTATTTCCCTGACAGGTCGGACATATCCCAGGCGAATTCATGAAGGTTCAACCCCGGAGGCCCTCAGCGAGGCCGAAAAGGCCAGAGATTAGTTCGGCATCGGTACTGGCATCGCCTCTGGGTCCTCTTTCTACTCCTGCACCCCCTCTTTCTCCTCCTCTCCCCCGTCTTCCACCTCCCTCTCACCTCCCTTTCTCATATCATCCCGTCCTGCCGACGTCGTGGGAGTGTCTTGTGTGGGGGACGGGCGAGCTTAGAACGCGGCGCCGTTTGTTCCACGTGGTTGGCCCTGTTCCACGTGGTTGGCCCTGCTCCAAGGGCGGCGCAAGCTCGAAGAGGCTTTTCGCGCAACACGAGTTACGAAATTGGGTTGCCCAGGTCTCGGCGTGCTGTCTCTTCCCCCGTCCCATGATGTTCCCCTTGGCAGGTGAAGGGCTACAAGGCCCACCGAAATGCGGCGAGGGCGCTGGACAAGAAACGCACCCTGACGCGCACGATTGCGCTTGTCAGCTCGGGGGAGGCTCGGGTCTGGCGAAGCTCTCTGGAGGGCTGGACGAGGAGGAGGCGTAGGAGGAGGAGCAGGAGGAGGAGGAGGAGGAGGAGGAGGAGGAGGAGAAGGAAGAGAAGGAGGAGGAGGAGGAAGAGGATCAGGAGGAGGATCAGGAGGAGGATCAGGAGGAGGAACAGGAGGTGGAGGAGGAGGAGGAGGCGGCGGAGGCGGAGGCGGAGAAGGAGGAGGAGGAGGAGGATCAGGATGATAATCAGGAGGATCAGGAGGAGGATCGGGAGGCGGAGGAGTAGGAGGAGGAGGAGGCGGAGGCGGAGGCGGAGGCGGAGGCGGAGGAGGAGGAGGAGGAGGAGGAGGAAACAGTGAACATGTGGCACGAGAAGAAGGAAGGAAGAGGAGGAGGAGGAGGATGAGGAGGAGAAGGAGGTGGGAGGGGGGAAGAAGGGAGGGAGGGAGGGAGGGCGGGACGGCGGAGGAGGAGGAGGAGGAGGAGGAGCAGGAAGAAGAAGAAGAGGAGGAGGAGAGGAGAGGAGGAAGAGAGGGAGCGGAGGCGGCGGAGGAGGAGGAGGAGGAGGAGGAGGAGGAGGAGGGGGAGGAGGAGGAGAGGAGGAGGAGGAGGAGAAGAGGAGGAGGTGGAGGAGGAGGAGGAGAAGGAGGAGGAGGAGGACGAAGAGTAGGAGGAGGAGCCGGAGAAGGAGTGGTAGTGGAGGAGGCGGGGGAGGAGGAGGAGGAGGAGGAGGAGGCGGAGAAGGAGTGGTAGTGGAGGTGGTGGAGGAGGAGGAGGATGAGGAGGGGGAGGAGGACAGGGGAGGGGATGGAAGTAGGAAGAGGCGCAGCAGCGGCAGGGCAGGGAGCCAGGAGGAGCAGGGAGCAGGAGCGGGAGAGGCTTGCGCAAGAGCCGGAGGGAGCCGGAGCCAGAGCATGAGCGGACCCGTCTGGAGGGATGGGAGGAGGTGTCAGATTCGGGCTGCGGCCATGGTCTTATTCTTAGCGTGTATGTGATTTCGGGCTCTGCGAAACCGAAACCGTTGACATGCTCAGCAGCGCAGGGGCGTACACAATGGGCAGGGTCGGGTGAAACGGCCCTCCTAGATATACTAAGTACCAACCACGCAGGATGCACGCTAAGTGCGTAGCACTTAGCGTGCGTAGGCGTATTCCCAACTACACGCAAGGGGAGTCTCAAACATGTGCGCAATAGTTCGTGCAGTCGTGCGTGCGGGGTAAGCGCGTCGTACGATATCAGCATGTGGCTGCCACGCGCCATGCGCCACAGGATGATATGTTGCATTTGTCGTTTAATTAAGGTCCCTGGAAAGGGGTCCACACCTCCAGGGGTTCACACTGTGAAGAAGAAGACACGGCTGCGGAGTTCCGAGTCTTTTTTTCGTTGGAGTCTACCTTGTCATGGTTTCCCGGGAGCCGTTCAGCCAACGCATCAACCATATCTCTTCTCGTTGATCCCTCCTTCTCCTCGTTGATCCTCCTCGCTTCTCCTTATCCTTCGCTTACTTCTCCCATCCGTCCCTCACTTCCCCCCCCTTCCCTTCTGTCTCCCGCTCTCCTGGGGATAAAATGATCGACGCGCCCTCCTTTCACACCGAGGTGCAATGACAACCCAGACCAGTTACAGAAGAAGTCTGGAGAACTGATTCTTAATTGTGAAGCAGATTCTCTGGCTCGCGTAAAAAACACTTTCACACCAAAGTGCTGCACTGCCAAACGGACCTCCGCCTCAGTAAGTTTTGGTCCTGCTCATCCTGACCCTCGGAGGTCCCCAGAGTTACCTGGAAGTCCCCAAAGGCTCGACAAGGGGCAGACACGTCTGAAAGCCTCCCCCCAGTTTTTGGAGGCCCGGCAAGGGCCAGAAACGTCCGAGAGACTCCTTCCTTGACCGTCCAGGGTCCATTTTCGGTCGGTCCGATTCGATATCGATTCTGGTGTGCTAGACCCGAGTTGATTTTGATATTCCGGCGATCCCGTGCGTCCCGATGCTTGCAGGGCGCCGTTGTGCATCTTGACGCAGCCGCCCCGATTCCGCGGACGACTTGTGTGCACCAGACCGCGTGGACGTCTCCTGAGGCGTCGTCGATCCTCGACCCAGGAACAGCACGGTGCACAGTTGTTCGTCCCCCAGAGCCGAATAGAACTGGGCACCGTACCGCATTGGAGCGGAGCCTCAAGTGAGTTCAGACATGGTAAGGTACGTGTGCGGGGCCGGGACATCTACACCACTACCACCTCCCTCGCCCCATCCCTCTCCCAGGAAAGAGGAGGGGAAGAGGAGGGTAGCTGAGGGAGGAGGAACGGAGGCGGTGGTGGTGTATGTTCTCGGGACCCGCAGCATGGGCGCGGTCCTCGTACCAGTTCGATCCCGACTCCGTGCCGATGCAGCCCGATCCGACGCACACTCCGGCTCGATCTGGCCTCCCGAGTCGATGCCGACCGCTGGCTGCCTTCGATGAGTTGGGGATGATCTTTTGCCGCCTCCGCCACGAAGGCTTAGTCGCAGCTCCTGGGAGGTTAGTTCTTTGCATCAGCGCTGGTACAGTCAAAGCGCATAATTACGGTGGGGGCGTTCGTTAAGGAATGTGCCCAGGAGGCTTCAGACCCCGCAGGGGTTCCTTATCTGATGTGGGCGGCGATGATGTCCACGACAAAGCCTCAACAGGCGTTCCCCTGGCTTTCAGACCCTGGATTCTTTATCAAAGGGTTGAGTTCTGGATTGCAGAGGTTCGTCTCGCTTCATTCCCCTCAGCTTTCCCCCTTCGCCCCCGAAAATTAAACTGAAGGGAAACAAATCTCTGGTCGAATCGGCTTAATCCTGCCTAATCTGGCCTCACTTCCGCTAAATCAGGCTCAATCCCGCTAAATCCAGCTTAGCCCCTGGCCTCAATCTGACCTCATCCGCCCTGGTGGCCCCTCAGTCGGGCTTGCTCGCCCACTCTCGTTCCGACGAAGACCTCCAAGGAGTTGCCTCCGCCCCGCAGGCGGTCCCGCTGCTGGCCTACTTCACCTCGCGCCCAGAGCTCGGCGTGGTGCCCGCCGTGGTCGAGTCCGCGCCGCGGGCACCGGCCCTCAGTGTCGGCCCCACGGCCACCGCGGCGCTCGGCCGCCCGGCGACGACGGCGGCGAGGAGGATTTTCAGGCGCTGTGCAATGGGTGATAAAGGGGGGAGGAAGGCAGGCGCCCTGAAGGGGCCATGGGGCCCTAAAGCGCCCACAGAGGGCCCAAAAGGGACACGAAGGGTGCACGTTTCTCCGCCCCCCATCTCATCGCTCCCCCAGCAAGCAACGCCCGAGATTTACGTGACGGCGTCGCCGCCGATCGCCGCCGACGCCAAAGGTTTTTCAGCCTCGGGGTGCTCTTCAGCGGCTGCGCCTCGTCAAGATCGTCCCCGGGGGCACCCAGATCGCCCCGAACGGCCCGTGGAGGCCCGAGTCGTGTCGCGACAGGCATCAGGAAAGACGCTGGCGACGTCGGCGACACCTGCGGCGGCGACGACAGTGACCTCCTCGCCCCTCCCTCCTGGGATCGCTCAGCCTCCCCCAGGGCGACGGGTTCGAGGGGGTGGGTCGGTGGTGGAGGGTGGTGGATGGTCTTGTTGTTGTGCCTGTGGTTGCTGATTCCCCTCCCACCGCCTCGCTCGAGGAACAAGCGATGACATTCACATGAACTCTCGGAGGTTCGCGCTGATCTCTTGGATCGGCGCTGGACCCCCCGGCGCTGGAGGCGCCGCCAGGGGGCTCCAGCGCCGATCCAAGAAATCTGCGCGGACCTCCGAAAGTTGATAATTATGCAATTTGTGGTTCCTCGACTCCCTCCTCTCAGGGGCAACGATGGTGGGGTGGGGGGACATGCTCTGGGAGGGATGCATCGACCCCCACTCGCCTATTGATCGTCGATAGGGGCCCGATAGCCCACACCGCCCAGGAATGTGGGGTTTTGCCGTCGGCGGTCTACCGCCGATCTGTCGGCGATGCATCTCCGATTCCAGGTCGATGTTACCCCCCCTGTGCCAGTCCCCCCCCTCCCGATGTAGGGGCGGTCGCTGCATGATTAGAGCAGGGCGCCGGCACGCACGACACGACATTTGCATACTCTCGGGGCGCAGGGGGAGCAACGGACGATGCGTCCCAGGCTCGACTTCGGCTGCGACCTAGATTACGCCCATCTCACTCAAGCACGGACTTCAGACTGCGAGGCAGGGCGGGAGCCATCGCAGAGCCTCTAGAGCCCTGGCTCCTCCTCGCTCCTGCCTCGGCCACGCGCAGAGGGGGTAGGGCGAGGGGGGAGGGCTTCTTAGAAGCACCCCTGCCTCGGAGAAGGCGCGGGCCTTGTCTACAGATGTAAGGCCAGCGCCTACTGAGACGCAGCCGCCTTCTGAGGAGCGAGAAGCCTTCCCCCCGTCCCCTGCCCCCTTGATGCGCGCCGCCAGCCCTCCTCGCTCCTCCCGCTCGGCACCCGCCCCGGCCCAAGACCGAAGGCGAGGCATCCGCCCCGTCGGAGAGCTCGCTGCGAGTGGCGCTCACACCGCAGCGCGACAGGGCGCACCCCCCTCGGGGTCGGCGCGAGAGCGGAGCCGCCCACATGCCGTCGCCGAGGGCCGCGGGCAGCGCGGCGCCGCACATGGAGGCGGACGCCCTGCTCGCCGACGGCAGCGACTCTGGAGATCAGCATCGGGGAACACGAATTTCGAAACGAATCTGCGGCGAGCGACGGGGGGCAATGAGAAGCAGAAGGCCTCCTCGAAAGGAGGCGGGACTTCTCAGAAGCCCTCGCGTCTTCTGAGAGGTTTTCTGTGTCTTCGGGGAGGGCTGGGGGACTTCCGAGCCTTCTGAGAAGGCCCGCCCCCTTCTCAGAAGGCCCGCCCCTTCTCACTTCCCCCCCGGCTCGCCGCCGAAAATGGGGGGGGGGGGCCCCCTAGTCTGGTCATGGAAGGGCTGCCTTTTTGCCCAGACCTCCCGGGACCCTCCAAGACAGCTCAAATCAGGCCCCAAAGCAAAAATCCGCCCCCCCCCCTTTTGTTATGCAATTCGAAGTAACCTGTCCTCATCCCCACTGGGCCAGTGTCTCTGAGGGCAGCACATCCCGCCCCCACCGCCAGCCAGGAAGCCCACTGCCGGCCCAGTGATCCAAGGGGTCCTGGGTCTGCGGGTGGGGGAGGTTTTTTTTTTTTTTGTTTGCATTTTTCTGGGCCAATCAACCACCCCTCACCCCCAGCCAGGACCCCCCGGGTCACCAGGTCGGGAGTTGGGTTTCTGACCTGGGGTGGGGGTATGCTGTGCTGTCCTCAGTCTCCGTTCCACAGGCCCAACCCTCCGATGTGGGGATCAGCCCCGCAAAGCCCGAACGTGCAGGCATACATTTCGACGATGGGCATTCAACCCATACCCCCGCTGCTGGCATGAATCAGAGGGCGTGGCCCTGGAGGCGCCGCCGCTCTGGCCCCTCCTGGGGTCGAAGGCGCGAGCAGGGGCATGGCTGCAGTGCCGATCGCCTGCGTGGCCACCTCCCCCCAGAGGCGGGTGGAGCGTCCAGGGGGGGGACAGGCCGGGCCACGGGGGGGGACCGGGGGGGACGGGTGCAACGATGCTCAGGGGCCGCCCTCCGGACGGCCGTCGGCAGCCCCGTCGCGCGCCGCTTGGCGTGGGCCACGGGCGCGCTGGCGGCGGCGGTGGCCCTCGCGGCGGCGGTGTCCGCCGGGGCCTCCGGCGGCGCGACGGCGGGCGGCGCGCCTGGCGTGCGGCAGCGGCCCATCCGGCAGCTGCTGCACGAGCCGGCTGGCGCGCACTCCCAGGGGAAGCCCTCCTGGAGCAACGAGGAGCCTCCCTCGTCGTGAAAAGGGTTCGATGGTGCCAAAGAGCTCTCAAGCACTGATTGCGCAATTGGTCCGCCTGTCTCTGGGACGCGTCTTGGCGACTTCTGGACTCGAGCCTCGGTGGCTGCGGTTCGCAACACAGTCACGCAACCAGGCATTCATGAATACCTGCACGCATGCAGCAACTCATGCAAATCATGTGTAATCACGAGCTGCAGTGGCAACGATGCTCGGGGAAGCCCTCCTGAAGCAACGAGGATCCTCCCACCTCCTCTCGTCGTGAGAAGGGCTCGCGGCGGACGGCCTCTGGCCTTTTGCGGCGCCTGGTTGGACCTCGCCTGGCCCCAGGATCGCCGGCCCCGGAGAACGGGTCCAGACCTCCAGGGCTCCACGCTGTGAAGCAATCACGACCTCCTCGCAGCCCCAAGATGAGGGGGTCCAGACCTCCAGGGGTCTACGCTGTGACCGATGCCACTAGCCCACCCTCGTCGCTACGGCTGCATTCGCTTCGAAATCCTGACTAGAACGTATCCCAGGGGAGGTCCGTGGAGGCGTGGTCTCGGTATCTTTTTCGCCCTCTAGAGGACGACGTCGACGCTCCGGAGGACCCGTGCGAGCAGCGTCGGAAGCTTACCGACCTCGATGACCTGAAGACTCTGGACATCACGGACCCTTCCGACGCCTATGATCCGTGCAAGGTGTCGAAGGAGGCGGCGATCAAGGCCGAGAAGATGTTGAAGCAGGCGGCTCATTTCGAGCAGCTGGGGAAGTCCAAGGGCAGCATAGGCACGAAGTCCAAGGGCGCGCACACGTCCAGGACCGACTCCAAGAACAAGAGCGGCAAGGCCGCTGCCACCCCTTCCTCGAAGAACAGCACTGGGAGCCACATCAAGCAGAAGCGCGAGGACCTCTGCTCTGGGCCGTCGGAGGACTGCCGCAAGACGAAGTGCTGCTCCGTGCAGGGCATGCAGTGCTACACCAAGAGCAAAGACTGGGCCGAGTGCAGGGCCAGCTGCAGCCCTGGCATCGACCCCTCGGACGTGGACCCGTCTCCGTGGAGCTGCGAGGAGGTCGGCGCGCGCGCCAAGGGCGAGGCGCCGCAGTGCGCGCAGAACGGTGCCAATTGCACGGAGAGCAAGTGCTGCAGCGAGGCGGGCTCTGCCTGCTTCCAGAAGAACGACACGTTCGCGACCTGCAGACAGTTCTGCACGCCGGGCCCCGACTACTCGGACGAGGACTCGGAGCCGTGGAGGTGCTGGCAGCTGGGCCCCCCCAAGCGCGGCAAGGGCGATTGGGTCGACGAGCAGTGCTCCGGGGATGAAGACGACTGCTCGGACACGAAGTGCTGCAAAACCTCCGGCTCCCTGTGCTACGAGAAGGGGCCTGGCTGGGCGCAGTGCAAGGCTCGGCGGCGAGCGAGGGGGGGAAGTGAGAAGGGGAATGCCTTTTCAGAAGGCCCAGATGGCCCCAGGCCTTCTGAGAAGCTTTCCAAGCCTTCCCCGAAGTCACGAACAACTTGTCAAAAGGCCGGAGGGCTTCTGAGAAGCCCCGCCGCCTTCTGAGAAGGCCCGCTCCTTCTCACATTCCCCCGGGCTCGACGCCGAAAGGCGGAGTGCTCCACGGAGCCGGAGAACGAGTGGGACAAGCCGTGGACCTGCGCGGAGCTGGGCGCGAGGACGCCGTGGCCAGCGCCCGGCTGGAGCCCTGGCCCTGAGGGCGGCAAGGTCGCCTCGTGGGTCGAGGACAATATGGGCTTCCTAGATGGGGGTCCGAGTGCGATAGGTTCGTGTCGTGTCAACTGGCGGCGACCCCGCCGCCAGCGTTCCACGCTGGACGCCGCCAGCAACCCAGAGTCGGTCGATGTCGAACGATCTGACATTTAGGAAACGCCCGATCGTGCAAGGTTGAGCGACCCCCCCAGTGTGAGAGACCAGCGCCGTAACGCCGAGGTTGGCACGACACGAACCCGCCGTAGATGGGGTCTGAGGATCGCGCCACATCCCCCATGCATCGCCCATGCGGCCCGATGTGGAGCCCAGTTTTCTCCGCGATGGCGTCGCCGATACACCGCCGGCGTCCCCGAAGCATCGGCGATGCGGCGCGATCCTCCGACCCCATCTACTCGGAGCCCATCTAGGAAGCCTCTAGGACAAGTGCTCCAAGACTGGTGTCGAGGACTGCTCGAAGACGCAGTGCTGCCTGGCCGTCGGGGACCAGTGTTACGTGAAGGCGAAGGGATGGGCGGTCTGCAAGGAGTCGTGCACGCCCGGTCCGGACCCCACCGACAACAATGAAAACTGGTCCTGCGATACGCTGGGCTCGCGAAGCTACGGTCTCGCGACGAAGGGGTGGCCGTCGCTTTTCTGCTTTATCGTGATGCGCACCGAAGGCTACGAGCTGCCCCTGGTCCAGGCCCAGTGGGAGGCGCGCTCGGGAGTCTTCAACTGCGACGGTTTCGTCGTCTTTTCGGACGAGGTGGTCGACATCGCGGGTTCGAAGTCCCTGAAGACCCCGGACATCGCGGTTGGTGTTTCCAAAGACGGCACGGCCGGCAACACGGAGCTCTTCATGGCGATCTGCGAAGAAGAAAGAACAGCAAACACTCAAATTTTCAGAGGTCCGCGCAGACTCCTTGGGTCGGTGCTGGACCCCCCTCCCTGGCGCACGGAGCGCGCCAGGGGTGGCGCCTGGAGGCGACGCCAGGGGTCCCAGGCGCCGATCCGAAAAATCTGCGCGGACCTCCGAACGTCTATGTGCTTGTGCAGTTCTTGGTTCTTCCATGATCTGGGACGACCTTTTCGCGGACGGCAGGTCTTGGGGAAACCAACGCGTACCGACACCACTACTTCCCAGACTTCTTCCGATGTGCGTTTTGGCTGGAATTTCGAGGCGAACCCAGCCGTGGCGACAATGGTTCGCAAGAGGCCCAGGCAGGCGAAAAGAGGCAAAGGCAGTAGCTGCACATCTTCCTTTGACTTGGAGGAGGAGGAGGAGGAGGAGGAGGAGGAGGAGGAGAAGGAAAAGGACCAGTGTACACCGAAATCGTACCAACGGTGCTGCACGAAACCCTTCTTCCAAACTCCCTCCTCGTAGGTCATATATCTAGTGACCTTCGGCCCATCCGGCCACCCTGCTTGGGTTGTGGGTATGAGGTATGAAGCCTATTGGATGTTCGTTGGGATCTCGTGGGAGGCTTCTCGGGTGCCTTTTTGGAGGCAGTGTGGAGGCCTCTCGGGGGCCGTTTTGGGGCCCATTGGGAGCCTCTTGGGGGCCTTCTTGGGACCTCCTGGACGGGCCTACGAGGCTCAAGTTTTTCTTCACGAAAGTGGGCCAGTCGCTCACCCATTCTCGCCTCCTGCCAGAGCGCCATCGATGGATGACGCCATGATGAGGGCCAGCAGGAGATGCCCAGGCTGAGGATACTGGGCTGGGCCCCGCAGGCCGCGGCGGGCGACCGCCAGGAGGCGATCATCACGGAGCTGCGCAACTTCGACGCGATCTAGCTGGCGGGCACGCAGAGCTCCGACTTCCGCCAGAATTGCAGCGGCCGTGCGATCGTACGCTCCAGGGTGGCGGGGCGCCTCGTCCTGAGAACACCGTATGGCCCGTCCCGCCACGCAAACGCAAGCTGTGGATGCTCGATTGTGCTGGGGGGGAGGGCTTCGAGAGGACCACATCATGCAGTGTTGGCCGTCACCATCGGAAGCGAGAGGTCGCGCAGTACCGACCAGAGTTAAACATGGACGACAAGAGCTGTGCCTCATAGCAATGTGCATTCCACCGAGTAGTTTTGGGCAGCAGCCGCGGAGGAGCTATTTGGCCACATTGCGCATTTTGCGGGACTGGTTCCGTGCAGTCATTGGAGAACTGCCCGCGCGATGCACCTCTTTCTTGTATTGCGGCCTCAACGACGGATTCGGCCTCCAAAGCAGGTGCCGTCGATCTTCACAGTGCAGCAGTACGCATGGGCCTTATAGAACGTATGGCAGGCGGGGTTGGTAACTTACTTCGCAAGGTCATGGGGCAACGCATGTTGTTCCGATCGCTTGTGCCTTGGCGTATTTGAAGCGCCGCCCAGTGGACCCACCAACCGCAGCATTTCGATGGGATCGTGACTTGCTGCTGCATGATTTCATGAATGACCATCAAGAGGGGGGTGATCAAGAAAATGACATCCAAACTCTCTACGGTGGGTCCGCGTCACATGAAGGAATCGACCCCGCCAGTTGGTTTTTGAGATTGTGGAGGCAACTTTGGTTCAGGTGGGCGCAGAGTACTTTTCAACCCCGGACAGTGCTCCTCCTTGTGAGTCTTACAGCGAGTTTTGTTCCGAGCTTTGTTCCGAACGTCATGGGCTGTTTGTCGTTGAAGCGTATTACGCGCAGGTAAAGTGAAGGTTTCACCATCGGATGTGGACGAGACCGACTCAGAGCTCAAGGCGCTGAGCCAGAAATTGAAAGATCGCAGACGTTGTTACCGACAGCGGCGCGATCGACTCGTGGCCGAAACAAGAGAGATGTGGCGACGGCGCAAAACAGCAGAGGCGATGAGGCTGTCTCGTCTCGCCTCCCGCTCGCGTACTGGGCCCAACAAAAAACGTGATTGTGCCCCTGTGCGCCCAGCACTTCTTCCTGCTGGTCAATGGGTGTCGGCGCGGCAACTATCGGGCCCTGAAAGGGGGCATGGTAGTTCGGAAGTGTGACGGGGGCACGCTTCGTGCTGATCGCGAAGGCCACTGCCCGTGGATACCGAGCGAGGAGGTTTTTGAATTGTCAAAGTCGGATTTTATTTCGATTCGTCGCAGCCTCGCGCACAGCAAACAGCGATAGGCCGTCCCCGTGAACGCGGCGCCGCTGGAGCCGTGGCACATGTTTGTCTTGCCTAAGCCGAGGCCGAACGCAGCTTTTTACGCAGGACGGACTGGGAAGCGATCCGGACCCACCCAGCACGCTGCATGCCAATTTCTACATATCGACCGATTGGCTTATCAGAAATTCGAATGCACGCACAGAGGCCCTTGAATCGGCACTGCAGTCAGGCACGGGAGTCGCGAAAGTCGCCCCGCCCCCCCAGGGCCCAAGGGGCGCCGCGCGGCTCGCGCATCGCCGGCCCCAGGGAAAAGGTTTTTCCCCAACGAAGTTTCCGAATTCACCGGCAGTGATGGCATATTGTTTTGTGGGGCGACGTCGATGGGGGGGCGGCGCTCTGCTCTCAGCCGATGAGTCGACGTCTTCGGGCAGGGCGCCTCGCGCGCTGTTCGCCGAAGGACCTCGGCAGCGCTTTCGGGGGCGCGCCGCGCGGCGCACCGCGGGCCGCGGAGGAGGCAACGACTACGCGCCGCGACCGAAGATGTCGAGCTGCGTCGCCAACGCTTCATAGGGGCGCTGACGTCATCCGACAGCGCCGACAGCCCTCTGTTCGTTCGCCCTTCGCAAGGAGATCGCGCGGGCGACCCATTCATTGTCGCCGCCTTCCTGGGTGGCGTTTAACGTCTTATCTTGGAGTGGGACAGGGCGATGCACGCATGTGATTTCAGGGCTAAGCTACGGCGGGGGATGACGCGGCTGGAGAGTCGACGCTGCGGGAGTACGCCGACGATTTGAAGAATATTGCGATCGCAGATATCGGGGATTATCTGTCCTCGTTTTCGAGCGACCTTCAGGTGTCGGACGGGGACCTCGACCCAGCCTTATCTCGTTTTGGTTCCGCCGAGGACCTCTCGAAACAAGGGTTCCTCGCTCGCTTCGGTCATCGGGGCCCCCGCAGTCGTCCAGATCCACGCTTGTGGACTGGCTGGGTGGAGGCGGCGAGGGGGGGGGCGCGCCACTTGGCGCCGTTCTTATCCATGTGGGATTCGGCTCGCTCAGGGGTTGTCCGCTGCTGCGTTGCCGCGCGTGGAGGGTTCCGCTCGCTTGGCGGTCTCTCGGGTCTCGCGACTTTAGCAGCGCGCTGGCGTCGCTGCTGGCCCATCGGTTTCATTCGGGGCTCGCCCCTGCCAGGCCTCGAGGGCCCCCCCCCCTGGCGCGCGCAGATCCATGATTCCCCGGGCTCTTGTCTTTCCCGCCAAGGGGGAGCGGCGACGGGCAGCGAGGCCGCGAGCTGCGAGGGGGGCCGCGCTCCAGATCATCGAACAAAGGGAGTTTGAAGTTCTGGCGCGCCCTCTCCGCTCCCCAGGAGCATCGTTTTTGCCGGTTCAAGATGGGCCAATCCAGGGGGCTGCAGCCTGACCGCCACTCGCGCGCGTTGTCGGCGTTGTTCGGCATCTTTCCTTCTGGCGCCTTTCGGCCTCATTTTGCCGGGGCCGACCAACGCGGCGCGCTTCGCCATATTATCGCCAGATGGCCAATGACCTCGACGAGGCGTCTGCCCTCCATCTTCTACGAACCCACCCGCTCCGCGGCTGCCAAGCGTAATCCGTTCGCAGACGCGGAGGCCATGGCATAATATTGCGCTTTGGATTTGAACGAGCTTCAGCGCGCGACGACCTGCGCGGACACCTGGTCTCCGCCCAACTTCCAGGGCATATTTCAGAGGCCCCCTCGCTGGCTTCAGCCGCCATTCGAGATGCCCGGAGGGGCGATGGGGGCCTCGAGCCTCGCCGCGCCCGCCTCGCGCAGCCCGTCGTCTCTCGGCCCCGGCGGCGCAGGCGCTGGCGGAGGCGCCCGGGCAAGGGCGCCCAAGGGCGGCGGCGGCGGCGAGGAGCAGGCAGACGCGATGGCCCAGCCGCGCAGGCTCGCGATGACCAGGAGCAACGTCACCGCCGACTTGGTGGGCATCTGGCGCGCGAAGTGCCAAGTGGGAGCAGGACAGGGGCTGCTTCGCCGCCGCCCTGAAGACCGGCACGCCCCGCGGCGACCGGAGCAATGATCTCGAGCTGTTGGCGGCGCGGGGAAAGCGGTGGACCGCGGGAAGCGGGGCCCTCCGTTCCCGGCGATCTTACTCGCGACGTTCGGCCGCGGGGCCACTCGCGCGGCGGTCAGGGGCAAGGGGCGCGAGAAGGAACAGGCGGCGGAGACTCGGAGACGCCGGAATTCTTCAGCGCCGAACTCTCGGCGACCACCACGCAGGACGTCGCCCCGGTCGCGGGCCGCTGCCGAGGCGAGCTGTGCGAGAACACCCAGGACCAGGAGCAGACGCGAACGCTGATGCGGCACATCCAGGTCGCGCAAGTACGACCCCACGTTGAGGAGCTCCTGGAGGCGATGGTCGAGGCTGAGGGGGGGGCCCGCCCCCGCGGCCCAGCGTTTCGGGGCCGCTCGAGCGCGCGATCGGCAGTTTCCTGGGGGGCCACGCGTATATGCAGCCCTGCAGCAGAGCCTTCGACAAGCGGTTCTGATAGCTCGAGGTATCCCCCCCCCCATCCTCGTGCTCCGACCCCCCCCCCCCCGCTGGCGATCCGCCTTTCGCCCCCCCCCCCCCCCCCCCCCTCCCCCCCCCCCCCCCCCCCCTTCCCCCCCCATGCCTCGGAAGTTCGTGAATCGGGGACTCCGTTTAGCATCCAGACCCCGCGACGATCGCGAGGGGTCGGGGGGGGGGGAGGGGTGTTCGAGATGCGAGGGGCGATATTCCAGTTCTCGTTCTCCCGCGCGCATGGGCTAGCCGCCCCAGCGGGGGGCCGCGCGCCTCGGGGGCGCGCTGGCAGTGGCCAGTGCAGTTGCGGGCCGTGAGCGGCTCGCATCTTTCAAGCAGCTTCGTCCGTCAGCACCATAAGGCGAGCCTTCTTTCGGTGCCTCCCCGGGCGGAGCAGCGCGCGTCGCAATGTGCCAGTAGCGATGCGACGCAGCAAATGCTCGCTTTGGTCTGGACCTTGCGAGCGGGAAGGGAAAAACACATCCTGGGCGATTATTTGGGCTTCGTTGGGGGGGGGGGCCTCGTGGAGCGGCAGGATCAGATGTTTGGTTCGCGCTCCCTGTTTTGGGCCCGTTTTGAAACCGTCTAAGGGCCCACTTGGGCCGCGTTGGGCGCCTGTTGGGTCGTTTTGGTGCGCTCTTGGGCCGTCTTGGGGCCTTTTTGGAGGCTTCTTTGGCTGTTCTGGGGCGGTCTCGGGGGCCTCCCGGGCCGTTTTGGAGCGTCGGAGACCAGAAAGGTGAGAAGGCCAAAAACTATCGAGAACCTGCAGAGATTGGTTTTGGCATCTTGGGGCTTTCTTGGGGGGGCTCTTCGATGCCTCGTTGGGCGTCTGGGGGCCATCGTGGACGTCTTGGGCCGATTTTGGGGTCTTCGAGCCCCTCTTGCACCGTCTCGGTGGTCTCCAGGGGCCCTCTTGGTCCGTGTCGGGGCCGTCTCGGGCCCCGAAGAGCCAGCGCGATAATTCTCTGTATATATATATATATGTATATATATATATATATATATAGAGAGAGAGAGAAACAAAACATATGTATGTGTGTACGTTTGTGAATCTATATATATATATATATATATATATGTATACCCCGCAGATGCGGATCAGAGTGAGGGGGAGATGGGGACATCGGCTGTTTGCGAGACTCTGGGGAAGCCCGCCGTAGGCGCCAAAATTTCACAAATCATGCAACGAGCCCGCCGCAGGCGCTTTTTTTGTTAAACCAATGTGGGTAGGTCGCTGTTGGGTCGCGGGTGGCTCGCAAATGGATGGCGGGTGGGTCGCTGTTGGGTCGCGGGAAGGTCGTGGGTGGATCGCGGGTGGGTCGCGGGTTGCGTCGCGGGCGGGTCGCAAGTGGGTCGCGGGTAGGTCGCGGGTGGGTCGCGGATGCGTCGCGGGGTGGGTCGCGGGTGGGTCGCGGGGTGGGTCGCGGGTGGGTTCCGGTTGGTCGCGGGTGGGGCGCGGGGTGCGTCGCGGGTGGGTCGCGGGTTGGGTTGCAGGTGGGTCGCGGGGTGGGTCGCGGGGTGGGTCCCGGGGTCGGTCGCGGGGTGGGTCGCGGGTGGGTCGCGGGTGGGACGACGACGGCAACAAACAATCAACCAAACAAACACACAGACGACAGCAACGCAACAAGCACAATCCCCACCGCGGATCACCACTTCAGCCACGCACCCATGGACAATAAATGACCGCTCGCCTTCACTCTGATATATATATATATATATATATATATATGTGTATGCGTATGTGTGTATATTCATATATGTATTTACATTTGTCTACATCTATATGTGTATATGTATGCGTTGCGGGAGGTGCACCACTCATAGACAACCGTTTGGGAATCTTCAATCGTGTCGAAAACATTCGTCTTCGGACTGCAACGCCGCGAATCAACGTGACTGTGGTGTCCTGACATTGTTAAAGAGCGTCATGATACCATTCCTGGGACTTGAACAGAGTTAATGGACGCGAGTGTTGCACCCTAGCAATCCGAATTCGTGCTAGAACGCGACCCTTGGGACTTCAACCTCACGGTTCTTTACAACTGTAGTATATCTTGCGGACGAATGCGCGTGGCGTTGTGGCAAGAACTAGATTTTGAAAAGGAGCCACCCTCCATCCGTGAAGGTGTTGCGAAATTGTAATGGGTAGGTGCACGGCGCTAAAATGAGAGCATCATTTTTACAACGATCCGCCATCCGTCATTGACATAAACATCGCAGCTGCTGCAAAGTGTGAAGACGAATATGCGTGGGGCGCTAAGGCGAAAACCACCTTTGAAACAAGGACCCGCTCGCAATCCTTGAACCATTTGCAAGCTTTAGGCTAATGTGCGCGGCGCTGAGCCGAGTGTCACATTTTGAAGACGGCCTGGCCTCCATCTTTGAAATTGTTGCAATGTTTGAGACGCATGCGGGCGGCGTCAATGCAAACACCACATTTTGAATACACCCGTCCTCGATCCTTGAGCCCGGAGCGAAGTCCAAGCTTCCGGGTCATGTATGGAGAGGAAGTATCAGGCGAAACGCCCGGTCCGCCCAACGGACACGCCTGGGGGTGCGACAGGGAAGAGTCATTCACAAGGAAGGGGATGGGGGAGGAGGGGGACAGGGGAGGAGGAGCAGGTGGAGGGTGAGGAGGGACAGCGCAGGGATGGCAGCGGTATCTGCACCTTTTCCTCCGAGGCTGTGGCTCCACGACTGGACGATCAAGGCCGACCCCGACGCCGTGCTGCTGCCCGATCGCCTGAGGACGACCAGCCTGCAACATAGCCCTTTCCCTACACTGCCCCGGAAAAGTAAGGCAACTCTAATCGTCGATCGCCGTTTTTGGCATCTGGGACCGTCCTCGGGCCCCGGGACCGTCAGAAACTGATCCGGGACGAAAAACGCCCCCAGGGAAGTCCCTCAGACGAGTCTTCGACACGACTTGCACACGTTGCTTTGCTTTTCCAGAGGGTGTGTAAGATGGACGTCGCCTTATTTCGGTGCCGATCTCAAGGATTCGCCCAGTCTTGCAGGGCACATCCCTACCATTGTCATCGGCTTTGGCCTGTCCATCTTAGGGATAGGGATGAGCTCTAGGGTGGTTAGAGGAACCACCTGGCGCCCCACACGGGCCGTGGCGAGCACGATGGGCAGCTATACGTGGTAAACTGCAACGCGTGGCCGAGCTCGTCCTCGTTCCCGATGCTGTACGGGGCCGTAGAGGTGCTCTCGACGAAGATCTCCAACGACATGTTTTTTTTTTTGTCAGTCTCTGAGTTTTCTAGTCTCGGCAGCGCTCCAGCCTTGGGATCCTTGCCAGCAGCGCCTCGTCGAGAGTGCTCCGGGCGTGCCCGAGTCCATCGCCCCGAGCGGCCGCCGGACTCTCGAGGTCCGATCCGAAAACCAGATTTCCGACGATGATTTTGTATACTCCAGATTTCGTAGTAAAAGGGAGGGGGTCTGGACCCTCCAAGACAAGCCATTTCAGACCTCCCCCGTGGGAGAACCCTCCAAAACCTCGTCCCCAGACCCCCCCAGGCCCTCCAAGACAGCCTGGAAGAGACCCCCTCCGAAGTGAGACCCCCCTCCCTTTTATTACGAAGTCTGGAGTACTCTGTGGGCCCCCTACCCCTGTTCCCAGACGTTCGACGAGACCCCCCTCCTTTTATTACAAAGTCTGGAGCATCTGTCCCGATGTTTTTGTTCTCCGGTCTCGGCCTCGGGGGCCCGCTCTCGGGCCCCCGGGGCCATCAGAAAGGGGGGCCGGGGCGAAACGCTGGCCCCCCTGGAGGGGGTTGGGCAGGAACTCCTCCTCCTCCTCCTCCTCCTCCTCCTCCTCCTCCTCCCCCTCCTCCTCCTCCTCCTCCCTCTCCTCCCTCCTCCTCCTCCTCCTCCTCCTCCTCCTCTTCCTCCTCCTCCTCCTCCTCCTCCTCCTCCTCGGAGCTGTTTGGTGTCGCGGATGTCTTTTGGGCTGTCGAGGTGTTCTCGACCAAGGCCATGAAGGCCTACGCGCGCCTCTCCGACAAGTGCAAGGACTCGACGAAAACAACCAACTGCATGTGAGCCAGCGTGGACCCCAAACAGTGTGCTCTAGCATACTATGTGGTGCAAACTATGCGGTGCAAGATCTGCGATGGTGGTGCAATCTACGTGCTGTAACCTATGTGCTGCAATATAGGTGGTGCAATCTATGTTGTGCCATATTTGAGGTGCAGCCTATGTGGCGCCAGATATGTGGAAGAAGCTCTGCAGTGCAATCTATGTGGCGCACTCTATGAGGTGCTATCGATGTGGTGCAATGTCTGTGGTGCAGTAACTAATGCTCACTTGTGAGTTGTCAGTTCCGCTGCTCGCGCAATCATCCCACCCACCCACCCGCAATTTGGTTTACAAAACGCGTGCGGCGGCGATTACGATGATTGCTTGGCGCTGGCTGGCGCATCGCTGCGGGCGCGCTAGCGCGCGCAGGCTCGCGCACAGAACGGCCAGCTAGTCTGGCGCGACTGACTCGGCCGCGGTGTCGCTGACCGCTGGCGACGTCCCAGCGCGTCTCGCAGGCCACGTTGACGCGCGGACACTTCAGTGCGAGACGGTGATTCGGGCGGGCGCGGTACCATGGCGACGTCGACAACGGCATTTACGATGATGATGTTGGAGATTCTGGTGGCGGGGTGACGACGGTGGCGGCGGCACGGGAAATAACGGTGCCGATGTTGACCATGCCGATGGCGATGATGGTGTCCATGTGGCGGGGTGACGGCTTTGAAAGCTTTCGACGCGCGCGCGCGGGAGCCCCGCTTGGTCGCATGTGATGATGTTGAAATCCATGGTTTTCGCAAGATTTCGCCAGAGCGTGCGCGCAGGCTTTCCTGCAAATGAACAGGTTGCAGACCACATGTTTTTGTTGCTTCATGTGTTCCCGGGAAGCTCGAGATTGAAATCCTTACGAGACCAAGAATTGCTGAAGGGCTCCTGCATGCAATGCGTGCGCGACCACTGGCGCGTGTGCATGTTGTTTCCTCTGCCTCGGATCATTGAGCACGGGTGGTTTTTGATGAACGAGTGTGCGCGCGTATGATTATATATATATATATATGACATGGACGAGGGGGGGCGATAAGAGGTTTGGCTGGGATGATGTGCGGAACTCGGAGTGCACCCCGGGCCCCAACAAGAAAAAGTGGAGCTCACAGAGGTGCCCGTAGTCGGTGGAGCACAGCACGGGGAGTGCTCACACAGCCTTAGATAGCGTCGGCGGAGCACTGCATAATCACGGAGTGCTCACCCGATCGTAGGGCTGCCCACGAAACACGGCACCCTCGAAGTTGTGAACGGGGTTGTGACGCCGCGGACCTGGAGCAAAACCCCGTACATACGTAGTCTGGCTCATCGTCATCACATCCCTGATTTGGACTTTGCCGTAGCCCATATCCTTCTTGTGCTTGGGCTTGGTCCTGATCTCCATCTGCTGATCAACCTGCTGCGTCTTGAGCTGCATGGTCGGTTTGATCCTCATCTCCATCTGCTGGTCGACCTCCTGCGTCCTAGTCTGCATGGACGTGACCTTCTGAACCACAACATACGCCAGCAGACAACAGAGAGTCAACATGATTCCAAAAGCCACACCGTGCAAGTAATACAACCAAGTCGCTGCATAGCCTTCACGACTGCACGACTGCATCATGGTCAGGGCCTTGCTGGACCGACTGCTGCTCCTCCTCTCGATCGGCCAGAGTTCAAAGCTGGCTCCTGGTACGGCCGTCGCTGCCATCGTCAGTGCCTGCACGAGCTTCTTCGACTTGCGGACTGGGGCTGAGAACTTTACGTCGCGCCCCGACATGAACGCCATCAGCATACCCGCGTGCATCACCTTGGTGCGGGCGTCCGCGACCATCGTATGAGTTGGAATCCACCGCAGGATCGAAGCTGTAGGGGCGAAGGTCTCCCTCAGCATACTGACCACAATCCTCAGGCGTTTGTCCTGCACGAGTCCGGTGTCTTTCTCCACCGTCCCCTCTAGATTCTTACTGTCCGTGAAGGTTGTCATCTTAATATTACCCGCCTGCCGCTCCATGTCCTTCAACTTTGGTGGGCTTCCAAACTCCGCCGCCATCGTCAGGTACGTCAGCACCTGGCGATACCACTCTGCGTGCTCGGAGGCCTCGCTGATAGCATAAACCTCTGCGCTGATGGTGCTTCGCACCACCCACCGGACACGTCCTGAACACCAGGTAAGCGGAATCAACTCACTGAATCTCCCTTGGGAGACCTCTTCGGGTTTGTGGGTCAAACCCCCGACGAGCCCGCACTGCGATCGCCCGCCCTCGGCATTGGCGAAGGCGGAGTCCCCGTAGAACACCAGCTGCGCCAATAGAACACGAACTCGACCGCGGACGAGCCGAACTCCCAGCGTCGGTCTCTGCTTGAGCTCGGTGACCAAGTGGTTGAGGTTGAGGAGGTCCTGGACCTTGAGCTTGCTGATACGCCTGGCCGCCAAGTTCTACTTGCAAGCCGCATCTGGACGAGAGCTCGTAGCAACCCACTGCACCTGGCCGTTGGTCGTCCTGAAGCTACTGACCTCAGGTGTCGCCTCGGACTCGGGAATCTTCATGCGATTCGCGTCGATGGGGATATATTCGATCGCCTTGCTCGCCTTCTCCTGGGTGTTGATGAACCCCGGCGTCATCTGTACCCTCGTGCCCAGGTAGTCGATGTCACCGACCTTCTTGGCAAGGTGCAGACGCTTCTGGAACTCCGGCATGATCTTGTGGACGTAGGTGCTGGTCTGCTTCCAGGCGAAACACATGTCGACCACATGGAAGTGGATGACCAGTAAGATCTCACACTAGTGAGCCAAGTAGTACCAGCCTCGCTCCAGCTTGCTTTCATGGATCTGGTATTCACTGAGAACTGACTTCTAATACAAATACCAGCCTCTGCCAGCATCCTTCGTGCCGTGGATGCTGCCCGTCGCGAAGATGATCTATCATGGAACGGTGCCTGGAGGAGGGTTCTCCAGGGGCATCTTGATCATCAGAACTCGGTCGATGCCCTCTGCCTGCAAGTAGGCGCTCTTGGCATCGAAGAAGGCGCCATCACAGCCATGTTGAGCTGCAAACCCCGCCGAAAGCCAAAATGCGTCTCGGCTCCCGGTCGGAGCGTCGGCACGAATGCCCAAGCCATTCTTTCGACGCCCTTGCGCCGCCAGCCTCGCCTTCAGGGTATCCGCATCCTTTTCAGTCAAAACTCATATGGTGCCAGCAACCTTGAGCTGTGGCCGCTTGCGCTTGAGCTGGGCGAGCTCCTCCGCGGAACAGTGCCGTGCTGCGTGGAACGCCAGCCACTTGTCCCACTCTGAAGCCATAGCCTTCCGCATCCTGACCTGGTTGCCGCCCGTCAGGTTCCTGGAGATCAGCTCCTTGCTCCTCGACTTGCCCACGAGGTCCACGCGCCTGAACCTGGTCGGGCAAAGGGTCGAGTAGTCAAAGTCGACCGACTCCTTCAGGGAAAGCTCCATGATCAGGCGCTCGTCAACCCTGGGCTTGTTGGTGATCTGTCGGTCTTGAGGCAATCGTCGGATGCCGTGCGGCACGTCGTCGAGGGGGTCGTAGGTCGTGGCGCTCATCTCTGCCTGCGGTGCGGGCGCCTGATGCTGTTGCGGGCATGGCGTCTCCCGCTCCTCGTCTGCGTCGAGGCCCTCGTCGAGGTCGGGAACGCCCTGATGAATCGTGGGGTCTCAGGTTCCTGCTAGTACAGATCCGGTCGGAGGCGTCCGGGACCGAACTGGAATGCGCCTGCTGGAACTGCTCTCGGTCGAACACCGGCTGCTCGAAGGGCGTCTCGGGCTCCGCCAAGACTGGGTCGGGCTCTTGCTGCTGCGGCTGTGCTGGCTGCGTCTCCGCTGGAATCTCAAACTCGGGCTCGGAAGCAAAGCGCGGTCGCTTCGCCTCTGGATCGGCCGACTCATCAGGGCCCGAAGCGTTAAAATCGGGTTGGGGCCCTGGGGTCTCCTCCTCGGCCGAGCCATCGGGGCGATCGCCAAACCGTCCACTGCGCTTCCCAGTTGGATGTTGTTTTGTAGTGGGGCGAGTGTTGGCGGGGCCGGGGATCTGCTCGTCGTCGACGGTCATGTCGTAGTAATCCGAGTCGGTCCTGGGGGGGTCCTCCATGTAGGGCGCGCCTTCTTCGAACTCGGGCTCGTCGCTGTGGTCCAGAGCGTCGAAGATCTCATTCCAGGGCACACACTCTTCTGGAAGCGCAGGCCGCAGATGCTTCGGAGAGCACTTGAGGGTGGCGTTCCGATGCGAAACCCACGCGTTGCCTCCCTCGTAGTCGACGACAACTCCAGGGCCATGCCATTTGAAGTTCCACATCTCCTCGGCCTTGCCCAGGCCACGCCAGTAGAAGACCTGGTCGTCAACGCTGAAGTTCAGGCTCGATGGCCGAGCAGCCTGCCCGCGACTCTTGGCCAGGAAGGCTGCTGAGAGACGACGGTCGTGCTCGACTGCCTGGGTTGCACGCTGAGCGGCAGCAAGCATGCCCACGCGCTGCTGGAACGTCTGGTCGTCCCGGGCGCGCTGGTGGAGCGAGAGCCTTGCGTGGTTAGAGAGTATGCTGTAGGGCAGGCGGTAGCCGCGTCCGAGCACCCACTGCGCCGGGCTGTGCCCAGACGGCCCCGCCTTGCTGTTCTTCGCCCAATTAACCCCGGTGCAGACTTCGCGATGCACTTCCATTCGGCGCCGTGCCGCTCGCAGATGCTGTTCTACGTGGGGCTCATGGCGGCGGTGGCAATGAGCTCGGTGCCCATGCCTTCGAGCTCGCTGGGGAACTCCATCTCGAACTCACTTCCAAGGTCTGCGATGCTCGCCTGGGGCGGACCAGCCCAGCCCATCCATCTCGTAAGCAACGTCGTCCACGACGTGGTAGGCTTCTTGTCGGCCTGCGGGGCCACCAGTTGGATAGTGGTGGCCATGTCGATGTTGTTCTGCAGCTGAGCCTGGTTGCCCTTGACATCGGCGAGAGTCATCAGGTCGGT